TGGGCAGTATATCCCTGCAACAATGATTGATTAACTGCACAGGATCTCAATTGTGCCAGAAAGGAAATCAAAGGTGGCAGGAGAGCTAAGGTTTTGTAAAGGGGTGAACTTTATGGAATTGTCAACATAAATTACAACTCCTCCTCCTCTTTTTGCTCTGTAATTTCTATGGCATGAATACCCATATATTGCAATGGCAGAGTCAGGTATTTTTGCAGTTAACCACGATTCAGAGAGCACAATGATTTTAGGCTTGTAATGTGAATATATGGCCAATGGAGTGATATACACTTTATCAAATGTGATTTAAGGGACACTTTAAGCATCAAAACAACTTTAGCTGAAGAGGTTTTAGTGTATAGATCATGCCCCTGCTCAATTCTCTGCCATCTAAGTGTTAAATTACTTTGCTTATACCAACCTACACCTCCCTTTGCTGAGATTTACAGAAACATAGAAACATAGAAACATAGAATGTGATGGCAGATAAGAACCAGTCGGCCCATGTAGTCTGCCCAATTTTCTAAATACTTTTATTAGTCCCTAGCCCTATCTTATAGTTAGGATAGCCTTATGCCTATCCCACGCATGCTTAAACTCCTTTACTGTGTTAACCTCTACCACTTCAGCTGGAAGGCTATTCCATGCATCCACTACCCTCTCAGTAAAGTAATACTTCCTGATATTATTTTTAAACCTTTGTCCCTCTAATTTAAGACTATGTCCTCTTGTTGTGGTAGTTTTTCTTCTTTTAAATATAGTCTCCTCCTTTACTGTGTTGATTCCCTTTATGTATTTAAATGTTTCTATCATATCCCCCTGTCTCGCCTTTGCTCCAAGCTATACAGTATCCCTAAACACTATCTGAAACAGAGTCTTCGATTTTTTTTGTTTCCATTAATGCACTGTATGTTTAATTTAGAATTTCTTATCACTTGCTCTGTTAATGGTCTGCTGGAGCCTGTAGGAGCCTCATGTCTGTGATGTGTGTGATTAAAATTCAATTAACAGAATAAGAACTAATGTACACACACTGTGCTGCAATATCTCATTGAAAATGAAACAACCAAATGAGGTCAGAGCCAGGAAGGTATGGCTGTTGCTTCATAAACAGAAACAAAAGTGATTTAACTCTTAAATGGTAGAGAAGTGAGAATGCAGTGGCATGTTATGCGTTCTTAGGCTAAAGTTGTTTTGGTGTTTATAGTGTCATTCTAACTAATTTGTAAGATTCTAGAGGAGATAATCAGACCATTAATGACCGTATCAAACTAGTTGTAATCCTTTGAATGGTCCATGAACAATATGCTATCTACGATTTCCTTGCTTAGAAGATCCAGCTACCTCAAACATATAAAAAGGGTCATCAGTAACGTGTGACTGCTATCCGTCAAGGAGAAAATGTGTTGGGGCTCACATCTGAATTATACTTCACTCACAGAGATTACTTGATGTTATCAATAATGGAAATAAGTCACTAGCAATTTCCTTTCTTTTGTTAAGGCTGAGAGAATGTTAATTAGAAACTACTGTTTAAATCATTCACTATTTTCTAACTTCAAGAGTATCAAAACGTGCAAAATGCAAATGTCTGAATATTTATCTAAGCCATTCCATCAACACAGGGGTCAACTAAACTCTAGGCTAGACTACAGCTGGACAAATTATTGGAAACATCAATAATGAAGATATACTTAAATTGAGCCTATTTGTAGTCTTTAAGAGCTAAATTTGATATCAACAAAATTGCAGAAGGCTCTAAATAACAGACTATCAAAGGGACACTATAATCACCAGAACCATAAATGCTTAATGTAGTGGTTCTGATGTCTATAGCCTGTCCTTGCAGCTTTCTCAATGTAATCACCGCCTTTTCAGAGAAAAGACAGTGTTTACATTGCTGCTTAGTAACACTTTTAGTGGCAGCCACTCAGATGGCCACTAGAGGTACTTCCTAGTCCAGTGAAGCAAAGTGTGACTCACTGGAATTCAGTGTCTCCACTCTCTGAATGCTGAATTTCCCCCGAGTCATGGCATGACAGGTAAAATCACCTTTTCAACGCGATTACTGCATGACCGTTCACCTAAAAGGCCACGTCTGGACTATAGTGTCAGAATTACATGTTTGCATTCCTGACACTATAGTGTTTCTTTAAATAACAAGATAAATGCAGCTAGCATAGGCTGCACGAAGTTCCAGTGAATAAAATACTTTCTTCAGCTGAGCACTAAAAGGCCACCTACTGAGTTAATTCCCAACGTTGCGTGTGTGTATGAAACTGGTTACATCTGTAATACTCAATCGCTGACTCTGCCGTTGCATGTCAAGGCCTAATGTATTGTGGGGGAGTGAAAAGTACCAAGATATATTCGATTGCACAATTATGTGAATGTATTCAAACATTCAACATACTCTTTAACCATTTTAAAAGAGATGGCTGTGACATGAGCATTTTTCTATCATTTGTTTATATTTAGTTAAAACAATGAGGCCAGCACTGCTAGTTGTTTTCTATAATGCAAATTGTATCTGCTGTACATTATGTACATATAGACTAATATATATCTTCTAAGAAAATCCTAAAATATTTCCAGCTGTTATGAAAATCGAATCAATTCAATAACTACCATAATTCATGTCTCAATGGTCTAGATGTCACTAGTTATTTTCTTAGATTTGTAAGGTCATGTTCATGTTGATATACAAACTGCAAGGTCATGGGATGAAAACTAAAAGCAATATGTATGTATTTGTTTCTACCATAAAGACCTTGATAAGATCGCCTGGAGACAACTAGCTCTGAAATTATTTTATTGCCATTTATCACAAAAAACAGATGCTTATGAGTCTTTCATGACCAAAATGGATTTAACTTGGTGACCACTGAGTCAACCTTGGCACTAAAAAAATATGGACATTATTGACAGCTCTTGGGAGTATTAACTTAGTAGTTCAAAAAATTAAACCTGATCACTTAGCCCAATTGGTGTGGAAGATAGGAGGACCAATCTTCTTTGCTCCTGGATTGTATAGCCCTAAACCTCTTTACAAAGATGGGAAGGAATGTGAAATAGGAAGGGTTAACATTAGATTTTTAAACGTATTTCTTCTCCACATAAACCACGTGAATTTGAAAACTGGTGCACTCCTTAGACAGTATAAAAGTGTTTATTATAAGCTATTATGTAGCTTCCTTTGCATAGTGCCAGGAGAAAGTCAAAAGGTCAAAGATCACTAAATTGCTCTAATTATTATTATTAATGTTTACAAGATGTTTCCTCCTGCATTGTAGGTGTTTTCTGCTTTGATCTAATCTGAGCAGAATGTCTGATCCTTTACGCTAATCAAATACTTCAAAGGAAAACGAAACAGAACCACAACCAATTCTCAGGCTGCCGAAAGACAGCAATATTTATTAAAAAAAATTAAAAATACAAGATGCATTACTATTGCTTAATTTGTGCAAATATCAGATACAACATAAGCGTACATATGAACTTTCTACATTAGCTCACCCTAAGACGTTTGAAAAAATAACTTGTGTCACATATATTCTATGTATCAGCTTGAATATTATAGTCAACACATTTTAAAAGGAACACTACTGCATTAGGAATACAAACCTGAATTGCTAATGCTATAGTGTCCCATTCCCTAGCTTATTAGGCCACCCCACTGTCCAACCTATAAAGGGTTAAAGACCTTTTTACTTTATCTTAATTCCAGCACTGACTAGATCTCCTCCTCCTGAATGTACCTAATGCGCATTTGTTGTGCTTGCAGTGCACATATTAAAACTTCATATTAAAACAATGCTTTCCTATGGGGAATTTGAAGATCTTAGATGTCCTTATGCAAAGCATGAGGATGTCCAACATCATTTCAAGGGGTAAAACTCTGTTAAGAGCAGAAAAACTGCAATCCAATCTACACTATGTATGTGTGTGGGTGCACATATATATATATATATATATATTTGTGTAAGGGGCAAAATATCCGTATATGGAGTAAGGATCCAGCATAAGCTTAGGATAGTGTAAAGGGAGCAAGTCGGTTGTGGTGTGCCGATACCGACGATACGGTAGGCCTGTAAATAAAGAGGGCCCACCAAGGAGTAAGAAAGTAAAGTAAATGGAAAGAAAAGAGAAAGTGTTGAAATGAGGAGTGGGTGGGAGGGTCATTCTGATGCTGACCTCAAGCGATATGAGTCAGGTAAGGGGTGTCCCTTATATAGGGGAGTGAATTAATTTAAGCCCCTCCCACAAATACAGGCAAAACTGCCTTAATACTTGTGTAAGGGGCAAAATAGCCGTATATGGAGTAAGGATCCAGCATAAGCTTAGGATAGTGTAAAGGGAGCAAGTCGGTTGTGGTGTGCCGATACCGACGATACGGTAGGCCTGTAAATAAAGAGGGCAAAAATGAATAATCAAAGATTTAATACAGTCAACAAATATATACAAATTAACCAGACATTTCCTTAAATGCATTACAGTATTTAATTCCTGAAAGGATTTTGAAGGTAGGAATCTAGGACCGAAAGTGGGCACCATTTGTTGTGGGTAGGATAGTATGTTATCTCTACTGTTGGTGCATGTTGACTCATTTCGGAATGTGGTAGAGCCAATAGGTAATGATATATGTGTTTACGTACGTGGGATCGTTGAAGACAATGATCTGTCTGAGTGGTGGTGATGGTAGTGGATTCTCTGGCCTGAGAAAGGCATAAAAGGCAATGTGCATGGCTGGTAATGGCCAACTTGGTAGTATAATTGAATGGTTGTAGATCTAATAGGTCCGATAAGGATGAACAGTTGGATGGCTATTGGTAATCTCTGAGAGGAACGTGGGGGAATGGATTCCTGAAAACCTCTGAGTATATTCTTTTCTGGTATGATAGCATGAAGTTTATGGTAGTTTTGGCCATAGGTTATCCTGTGTTGTTGAATGCCTGTAAAATATATCATTAATGGTGTATGAGATAGTTTAAGTTTAAGGTGGCAAAAATAAGCAAAACTTAGGAGAAATTTTGTGACACAGGTTGAGCTATGTCGTGTTCCAATGAGATTCTTTAAGCCAGGTGAAAAGCTGTGTTATGTGTTCTACAAGTATGGGACGAAAGTGCTAGGTGGGATAGTGCATGCTATGCTGCATGAGTATGTCTAATCCATGATTTTGTCTCTGGAATGAAAAAGTGGACGTGACTGTATGGGCGGCTGTAGGAAGTGTATGATGAACATGCCTGGAATATAAATGACACAGTTGTCGGCAGGGATGTATACCCCCGTCTGGTACATGAAAGTGAAATATGATAAGTGGCCAACCAAGTGAGTTTCCCAGAAACATCATGAACTTATGGATGAGTAGTGGCGTTTGTTGATGATATGATATGTGCTCAGTTGTCTGAGTAACAACGGATTGATGACCCTGACCATGATTTACCCCATGCCACAGCAGCTGCTACAATGGGGTAGATCTCCCAAAGGGGCTGAAGTGGTGGAAAAATTTCCAAACCTGGATGCCATGGCCAACAGCTCCAAAGCAATTGGTCCCGGTAGATCGCTGCCAAACCAGTGGTATACGCTGCGTCTGACCATCTGGTTGGAGAAGTGTCAGTCAATCCTGGAAGGAACATGCTTTTACCATGCCAAGTGGTTAAGAAATCCCCCCCCATGTGCAGGTCTGCTGTTGCTGAGGTGTCTAGGCACCTCCTCTGATCGTCATGTTGGAAGTGTGGAAAAAAAGGGAAAGTACTCTGGATGTGAAAGCGTGGTCTTGTGGTATGATTGGCATGGCAAAATTAAGGAACCTGGTAGGGATTGTAGTTCCTTGTAGTTGTAAGTACTAAGCAGGAGGTAGTTATTGATTTAGTTGAGAATGTTCCCTATTTGTCTTGTGGTAACTTGCGTGTATGGATGCCGACTCAAGTCATATGCCCAGTAATGTGATGATAGTGTCTGCGCCTTCTTTTTCTTATGGGGTACTGGGACGCCCAAGTGGTCAACCAGACTAAGCTGCCATGAGGCTTCTAGTGAAAAATATGCTTTCTTTTAGCAACAAGAAGTCTTCTAGATAGTGTATGACTGTAATGCCTCTGGATATGTTATCATAACCAGCACAGAGTATCTGCGAATATCGATAGTAGGCTAATCTGTAGCTCGAAACTTGAGCAGGGAAAGGATTGCCCAATTTATGCCATGTAAGTGCCAGTGTGTAGGGTAGATGGTAGCCGTTTACTGCGTTGATGATATTGGTCTTACTTAACCAAGCTTTAACCCTTGAGTGATAGCTGTAAAGGTAAATCAATGGTGTTGTATAGTAAGAAAAATCCTCGGAGGGTATGAGGGAGTTGAGACTTGGGGTAGCGGAGGTGTGTGGTGCCAATAAGTCTATGGTTAGTCTTTGTTTAAGAGAAGATTCCTTGTGACAATACCAATGTGTTTGTGTTTGGTGCCATGCTGTAAATGGTGGAGATTGGAAGACCCCTCTGCAAATCTTGGCTATGAGTGTGTTTTCAGCCAATGGTTTTGTTGTGCTGACTGTAAGTGAGGGCATGCTATATTCCTTGAAGGTGTGTTTATGATACCTGTATGGGAGCCCTTTGAAGCTCCAGAGCTTTAGTAAATCTACTACAAGTCTGGAAGGGTGATGAGTCAGTAGTGTTGAAAATGCATTGGTGTGTACAGATGGTGAGTACGTTATTTGTAAGTTGTATTGGGCCACATGGTTTGTCATGTGCCCTGAACCATTTGAACATATATGCAACAGTCTATATGCAATGCAACTACTCATATCAATGGTCTCTGGTAGTTCAGAGGTGCTGGTACCTGGAGCCTGAGAGTGCTCGTCCATTTGTTTGGGACAGAATCCCTTCTGTATGGGTACCTGCACAAATAAACATCTCTACATATTCCAAATACCAACCCATCCAAGAGATGGTCAGTTCCCGATTTACCTGGAATCCCTGGATCTGACCATCACAGATACATCATCATACATATATATGCCTTGCTTCCCCAATGTGCTGGGGTCATACGTGCAGGGTTAACATCTTGTGTGTCATAAGAATTGATTGTACCAGGTAACAGAGTTTCGGTTGGTGCTGGTTGTACAGTAACGTGAGGCCCAGCCTTGTGAGGGCTGTGGTGACCAACTCGAGATTGCCAGTCTGTCATAAATTTTTTGGCTCATGAGTTTATGAGTGAGGCTAGCATAGCCTGGGTGTCACCTGAGTTGATGTAGCTGGGCCTTCCCCTGCCTCCGTGTTGTCCGTTGATGTATGGAGGAGTTTGAATAACTCTGCTTTCCTTGCTGTAGCAGGGTAGGGGATTTGTCACCTCCTTAGGTCGGTGGTAATGTGTGGGATCATCCAGGATCTGATTGCTGCTGGACTAGCAACATCTCCTCTGCTTGAAGGTGTATCAATTCTAGCCGGGGTGCTAGGAAGAGGTGATTCTTCACCATCTTTTTGAGAAATACTTAAATAACAATAAAGATTGCAATTATTATTTGTACCCAGGGTTCTTGTACTGGCTTGCTAGCTAAGCCGTAAGGCGAAACGATTAGGCTTGGTGTTTTTTGGTGACTGGTGAGGCCCTGCTAGTTGCCAAGTGGCTTGAGAGGCTCTATCTATGCTTGGCGCGAGGGGATTTTGTGTGGCCACCGAACGTTGTGGCAGGATGTTGGCCTCTCGGTGACAGTAACCAGAAAATAGGAAGGGGAGTGACAGGTGAGGCCCTCTCTATGATACAATGCGAGGCGGCTAGCTCACGAGTGGCCCGAGGGGTGTATGCCTCCGAGTGTGAGGCAGGGTGTTGGCCTCGCGGGACCACTAACCGAAGCATAATGCAGAGAAAAAAGGGGGTAATACCTATTGGGCCCTAGAACCCTAATTGCCAGTACACTATTACTATTCCAGGGAAGGTAAGAGATGGATAACTACGTGAGCAGGTGTATGTACCTGGTAGTATGGTATTGAACCTGACAATCCGTATAGGTTTTTTAGTAGTAACTGTAACCTGAATGGATAAAACCGTATGGCATAAGGAAATATGGCATAGACCAAGCTTATCTTAATACGTACAGTATATGTGAAAAGTAAAGTGCCATGATGTGTAAATATTAAACATCGTAGCCATACTGGTTAAATATGTATCAATCTTAACCCATTAAGTGCCGTATGTACAAGTGAAAATGTGGTCTGTCCCCACCTTGTATGTTGTATGTCCCCTTGCTAGGGGAAAGTCTGTTGCGTGAGCAGCGTGCTGTGGAAAATGTATGTGAACTATATTACCAGTTACATATATACAGACGCGTCTGCTACTGTGTAATAATATATGTATTTATACCAGATGTTTGATATAGTACTTGCTATGTGAATTGTTGTATGTCTTATTGAATGGTAGGGGTCAGTGAACATGGTGTTGCAAAAGGCAAGTGCACTGGAGATCTGCCGAGTGCCCTATAGGTGGCAGTGTAGTTGGATACTGATTGGTATGTGAAATGTTGTTTGTCTGTTGACCTATAGGGGTCAGTGTTTTGGGGTTTGTAAAACCCCATGAAAATTGTCAATGTACTTGACAGACCTGTAGGTGGCAGTGTTGATAGAACCACTGTTGGTCTTGATATGAAATGTAAATTATTGTGAATTAAACCTGAATTTGAGCCCGTGCTGGAGTTTCATTTATGGTTTATGGTTATGTTTAACCCCTTCAGGACCAAACTTCTGGAATAAAAGGGAATTTGTGTAATTTATATTGGCTGGTAAATTGTATATGACATGTGAAGACAGTTTTGCTGTTGACCAGTAGCGGTCATAAATGCTGATTGTATGGTAAAAATACCCTTTAACCCCTTAAGGACCAAACTTCTGGAATAAAAGGGAATCATGACATGTCAGACATGTCATGTGTCCTTAAGGGGTTAATCCTACTGTTTGACAGATAGGAGTCAGTATAAAAGCGAAAATGCTGTAGTTAGTTTGTTTGCTTATGAAGTGAAATAAAGTCTGAGAAAACTGTAGTATACCGATTGACCGGTAGGGGTCAGCATGTAGGCGAAAATGCCGTGGTTCGTTGGTTTGTACATGAAATGCAATAATGTCTGAGAAGCCTGTAGTACACTGAATGACCGGTAGGTGTCTGTGTGTAGGTAAAAACTCAGTGGTTTATTGTTTTGTACACGAAAAGCAATAATGTCTAAGAAGCCTGTAGTACACCGAATGACTGATAGGGGTCAGTGTGTAGGTGAAAAATGCAGTGGTTTATTGTTTTGTACATGAAAAGCAATAATGTCTAAGAAGCCTGTAGTACACCGAATGACTGATAGGGGTCAGTGTGTAGGTGAAAAATTAAGTGGTTTGTTGGTTTGTACATGAAATGCGATAATGTCTAAGAAGCCTGTAGTCCACCGAAAGACCAGTAGGGGTCAGTGTGTAGGTGAAATGCAGTGGTTTATTGGTTTGTACATGAAAAAGCAAACAACGCCTAAGAAGCCTGTAGTACACCGAATGACCAATAGGGGTCAGTGTGTAGGTGAAAAATGCGGTGGTTCGTTGGTTTGTACATGAAATGCAATAATGTCTGAGAAGCCTGTAGTACACCGAATGACCGGTAGGGGTCAGTGTGTAGGCAAAAATGCAGTGGTTCGTTGGTTTGTACATGAAATGCGATAATGTCTAAGAAGTCTGTAGTACACTCAAAGACCGGTAGGGGGTTTAAACGAATGATATGCATGAACATGAAATGGTTTTAGAACAAACTTAGACAAAATGCAGCAGTAAAGTGAGGACCTGACCCTTGCATGGTGCCGTGGGACTGATGCCTGGCGTAACGGGTAGGTCGACTTACGGTTTGTGAGTCACTTGGACACCATCCACAGCGATAGATTGAAGAAAGAAGGTGGTAGGCCGGAAAAGCCTGTGGCTGGATTCCTGACACAGCTCAGCTTAGAAAACCTCATGGAGTAATCAGGTAAAATGGCGTCTGGATGACCCGGAAGTGGAAATCATTCTGATGCTGACCTCAAGCAATATGAGTCAGGTAAGGGGTGTCCCTTATATAGGGGAGTGAATTAATTTAAGCCCCTCCCACAAATACAGGCAAAACTGCCTTAATACATATATATATATATACATATATATATATATATAGAACAACGCAAGCGTATGGTATATACTGCGCCTAAAATTATATATACATAGGACTTCAGGAGATA